GCGTGAGTGATGTCCCATTCGTCTGATTGTCGCGTTAACTGTTTTTTTTTCTTCTTCAGCCATGTCCCGCCGTGACCGAGATGTTCACTTCGACGACGACTTCGGGGTCGGCGACTCTACGTTCTTGGCTGACCGTGGGATTCATGTGTCCGTCGACGGGACACGTGTGTTCAGCAGCCTACAAAATGTCAGGCCTCAAAAACGCCCCCGCCGCGGTTTGGAGGACTTGACCGATGAATACGGGGATTGGACGCCTGTGCCAGATGGTGACTTGGAAGACGTTTACGCGGCCGCGGACACCGTCACCTCCTACGACGTTTCTCCGGAGGATGATGAGGAAGGTGTCAAGCGGAAACGCTATGCAAGCTCGGTGGGCTTTTCTCTCTCTCTTTGGATGGGTTTTCCCGTTGTGCGTTCTAACATCTACGCCTGCCAGGACGAACCTATGAAACAGTGGCGACCGCTGGCCCAAGATTTTTTGGATGCTCTACTCCGTCGGGAAGGGCTCGGCGATCCACATTGCGCGTGCTGTCAAGCGGAATACGGCGGCGACGTGCGCCTATTTCGCTGCGATCAATGTGGGGTGTTTTCACAGTGTCTCGCCTGCATGAAATCAAGACATCAGCTCAATCCACTGCACTGCTTGAAGGTACGGCCAAATTGTTAATGTCGACCTAGTGCCTTTCTGAAAGTCGGTCTTAGGAGTGGAATGGCCAGCATTGGATCCAGGCCAAGTTGTCGGGGGGTGGCCCAGGCGAGAGCTTGGGTTTGGTGTACCAGGTGGGTCACCACGGGTTTGTGTGCCGTTTCCCAGAGGAGCGCGAGCGCTCGATGGTGGTGATTGACATCACCGGTGTGCACTCGATCACCTATCACTACTGTGGGTGTGAAAAGAGCGAACGCGTGGTGCAAGGCCACCTTGGGCAACTGCTGGGGAATGGCTGGTACCCCGAGACGTGTGCGACAATCGACGCGTTGGAAACCTTTCGCCTGCTGAATGTTATCGGCAATGTGAATGTCCATGACTTCGTGTCCGCGCTGGAGCGGAAGGTGGATCCTCTGCACGTTGAGAAGGTTCCGGTATGCGTTCTCACCTCTATCCATTGCGCAGAGTTGATGAACCAGGTATAGGACCGGTACAAGGCTTGCGGCCGAATGACACGCCAATACGGTTTCTTGTTGCGCGCCAAGCGGAAGGGCCGCGGGCACGAGACGGATGGTTTGCGCAAGACGGCGCCGGGCGGGTTGGCAGAGCTGTGCTGGGCCTGTCCGCACGACGGAAAGAACCTGCCTGAAGGGTGGAGGGATGTAGACCCCCAGTATTGGTACGCATTCAAATGGAGTGGCCTGAACTGGATCGTGATGGACTATGGATTAATAGGTTCTTGTACGCGTTACTTCTCGCTCTAGACGCGAATTTCCGGCTGAAAAACCGCCTGCGCGCCAATGAGCATCAAGACCCGTCCCTGGGTTCAGGCCTGGGCTATTTCGTCGAGGCAGAGGACTTCAGAAAGCATTTGAAGAACTACGTCGCTGAGCAGGATGTAAGTAAACACATACCCGGGCGGAGTCGGTCACTGACGATAGAACGCGCAGGTGAGCACCTGTATCGCTTTCGCGGCGCTGTTGCAAAAGGAGACGCGCTTGACGACTGGTCTGCGCTGCTCTGGCGTTGGTGGATGCGTGTGCGCGCGGCACGGCGTGGTACGCCCTCAGGGTCTGGGCGACTTGCAAAAAGACGAACGGTACGTGAAAAGCACGCTAGGAAGGAATAATACTGATATTGCAACATTCTAGCTACGCAAATATGGACTATATTCTCCTCGCATCGTTGATGGGCGTCGCACTTTTGGCGCTCACGATTTCCTACGATATTGCATGCCAGTGGAAAGTGAACCTGGCACTGTGGGCGAAGAAGATCGAAGAGACGACCACATTACCAACACGCCTCGAGGACTACGAGATTCAATTCGCGCTCCCGGTGTGGCATGCAGGCGCGCACGAGATGACCTGCCAAAGGGAGAACTTCTTGAGCTTCACGGTGGGCGTGGGTCGGACGGATGGGGAAGGGATTGAGAGAACGTGGGCTATCTTGAATCCCTTGGGGTTCTCGACAAAGGAGATGGGGTTAGGTGCGCGCCACGACGCAATTGAAAACAAGGTAGACCATTTGAACTTCGAAAAGAACATTAGGCAAGGTATGCACGTCTCTCTTCATGCGTAGGCCCGGTTATTGATGAAATTTGAGGCAGGCGATACACTGGCGTGGAAGCTCATCGTTGCGATTGCGGAATGCGACCGGCAAGTGGAAGAGTTCAAGGAGGTCGACCGTTCAGTGGCGAAGGATATACGCGCCAAATGGAAAGGCCGGATCACTGCATGGCTGGCTGACAAGTCTGCGCCTAATCCGTACTGCCTGGAAGGCGGGAAGGATGGTACGTGTGTTGCAGGGGTCGGAGTCGAGTTTACTGAGAACGAGTTAGCGGGCCCGAGCAAGGTGGCTGTCTTCCAAGAGCTGAAGGCCGCAGAGGCAGCGGAGGTGGCGGAGGGACGCGAGGCGCTGGCTGAATCGCGGGCGACGGCGGCTTCGTTCATCAAGGCTGGGTTGCAGCTAGAAGAGTCACAGTACGTGGGCAGCCGTTCTGCTGGATAGGTGGCTAACGTACCCGGAAACAGGCGGCGTATCAAGGCGGAATTGAAGGGAGTTACACTGGTGACGGCCGATCGGAAGAGTCAGATTCAAGAATTACGGAACTCGTTCCTCAAGAAGCTGCATACATTTGAACGGCTGCAGCTGGTGTTTCTGCCGGGGGTGGCAGCTTTGAAGGAGGCCGCGGAGGAGACGCGAGACACCGACGAGCCCGCGCCAAAGGCGGAGGAAATCAAGCTGTGGATGCCGTCAGAGCTGGAGCCAGGAACGCGACGACAGGTGTGCAGGAGGGGTGTCCCAGAGGTAGAGGCGCGGCTTCGGCGCGCCCAATGTGGGGATTCACTGCAGGATTTGCGGCATCGCCTGCATGCGCAGACGCATCTGATAAGCTGGCGCAACTCCAATTCCGTGGGACAGAGGGCGGCGACACAGTCGGCGATGCTCATTGGACGGGTGGGGGATCGAATCGCGAGGGTAGCTGCGAAGTACAGGCGCGCTCGAGCGGCGCTTGTCGAGCTCAAGGGGCCGGACTATGCGCCAGAGTTCAAGGTGCTTGAGGACACCGATCTCAACACCCTCGCGGTGGAGGAGAGCGACGCAAAATCGCGCAAGAAGCTTGCGCGCCTGGGATCGACGAAGCGTGCGCGCAACGAGCCGTCAGACAAAAACCGCAAGAAGACGATGTCGTGGCTGTGGACGGTGGGCGGTGGGCCTGGGGAGGACGAGGTCGGGCTGCACGAGTGTAAGTGATGGTGATGTGGGGCCGCTTCTGAAAGCTGACAACTTTTAATAGCCGTGCGTGTGGAATGGTCGAAGGTGAGGGCACGGAGGGATCGATGGGTGGAGGAGGTGCAGTTACTGCGCGAAGAGATGAAGAGGGTCTTGCGCATGCTGCGCACGATTCAGGGGGAGTGGGCTGCGCGTGCGGAGGCCCGTAGCGATATCGACCCCGAGCTCGCGGCAGGCTTGCGGGCCTACGCCCTGCGGCAGGTGTACATTCATCGCTGGATTGCAGAAGTGTTTCATAGCGGATGGAGCGGCTCGGTGGCGTGGTAAGTGCGGCAGGTGGTGGAAAGGGACGGTGGGGTCTATCGGGAGCTCCTCGATGGCGATTCACTTGACAGGGCACCAGCGCCGACGCAGGCGCCACTGTGAAATGCAGTGCCCGTTTGGGAAATTGTAGAATAAATGTATTTCCCAAAATGGAAGCTCGTTGGGTCAAAAGACCCGTGGGATCATACGGGACTGGATGCCGGGAGTGCCGAGAGAATTGATTAAATGTTTGACGGCAACGCATGACTGATAGCGCACGCAATGGACAGCAAACAGCATAAGACATAGGGACAGCCAGGCCCCTGGCTGTGTGCCGACATAGTGCAATCGCCACCCCTGGCTGTATTGTACAGTGAATGCATTATAGTACACCTAGGGGTGGCCGTTTGACGTTAGCATGCAGAGGATATCGGCCGTCATGATCATATCGTGATGGTGATTTATCTTGCGCGCGGTATGTGATTCACTTCAGTCTCTTGTTTTCGTGCCCTCGGGGGCATTGATGTCGACTTAGCGAGGATGTTCCGTGAAGACTTCGGCCACGAGTTTTCCGGACACGACGGGCTCGACTTGCACTTCGCCCACATGGTGTTCCATCAAGAGGCGGCGGCTAATTTAAGATACTGGCACAACAACGACAAGGCTGCCATGCTCGCGACGGCGGCGCGGCCGGTGACAGTGGAGCTCTGGAATCCTTATCCTGCCGGCCATAAACGGCGGGCAGACTTTGTTGTAACAGGTACGTGTCATTATTTCGTTATGTTGTTTACGCTGACGGACTTTGGTAGTCCGCAAACTCGCGTCGTCTTACCTCGATCCTGCTGAGTCGGACTTGCTGCCCGCGGCGATGACGTGGGTCATTACGTTGACCCTCCGGAATGCTCTGGCTCGTTTTGGCGAAGAGAACCTGTTGTATGGATACTATGAGCGTAAGTTTTTTGTTTTTTTGGGCGACGATATTGGCTAATATATATATGATTGGACGCAGTTCTGTACCGCCAGGATGAGCTCGAGACCATGACGCTCCACCACTGGGAGGCCCTCACTGACCGCGTGGGGGAAAAAAGGCAGAATCGACACAGTCCGTTTGTACCTCGGCCGCCGTTGTGGTAAATTAATGTAGATTATGTACAATTCATTTTCTTGTCAATTCTTTTTGTAATTCCACTGGTTTTAATAGATCGTTTCAAACGGAGTGAAAGTATTGAGATGAAGGTTTTTGGCGTGCAATTCTTCTCTGTCAGTTGTGCGATTTTCTCTGTTGATTTAAAAAAAAACCATTTCCCTCGATGTAGTATGTCCAAAGTGGGGTTCGAACCCACGCGAGCCCTTTAAGGGACTAGCACATTACCAGTACACCATATGGACGACAGGAGGCTATGTTATGATGGAGGCAGGTAGCACTCGCGAAGTAGACAACATAAGTAGGCTCTTGAGTTATTGGGGAATTGACGGTTTCAGGGGGATGTATTGAAATAAAGATTATTTAAGTTAAGTGCAATTGTTCGATGTCGGGCGTAAGACAAAAAAGAAATCCCAATGTTGAAGAAAGATGTCAGTGGGATTCGAACCCACGGCACTGGCTTAACAAAAGGCCATGTTACCACTACACCAAAGAGACAACAAGGGAGACCATGGTATGATTGAGACAGGTAGCACTTGCGAGGTAGACAGTTGTATTTCACAATTCAACAAAGTGATATTATAAAATATCCTTAGGTATGGATACCTCGATGAACACAGATGGAAAAATAAGTATTGTAAGTATTGTAAAAGGCCTCCTGATATTTATTGTTTTGGAATGAAACAAACTTGGTTTATTTGTTGTTCAAATGATTTGCAGAGCTCTAAATATGTGTGGGTGGGTGCACCCAGATACGATGGGTACACCCATTAGTGAGCTGGGAGCACCCGGCTGACTGATATTGGAGGTCTGGCAGGTACACCCGTGCAAGTCCTGGGTGCACCCAGACTGGCGGGTGTACCCATGGTCGGTCGACATGGGATCACCCACAGTCAGGCAGGGTGTGCCGGGCTGTGCCTGGTGGTCCCAGTTAGAACAGCAGGGGTTCACCCGCCGCCGCCCTGGGTGCTCCCTGGAAAGGTGGCAGGTGCACCCAGCGAAGGATAGTGGGTAGCTCCAGCTCATGGACTGGGTGCATCCAGATCAGTGCAATGGGTGAGCCCATGCACGATTGCGGAGTCAGAAATGGGCAGTATTTATTAAATATGTTGCTTAAGTCTACAAAACAAGACGGTAATAATAATAGCAGAAACATATATACGAATACAATGTAAGTAAGGCCCTTCTGTGCTTCAACCGTTTGCACGATTGCCAGTCAGAAATGGGCAGTATGTATTGAATATGTTGCTTAAGTCTACAAAACAAAACAGTAATGATAATAGCAAGAACATATACGGAAGTCGGTGTTTCAACGGTTTGGTTTGGTAAGACACAAGTGCAAAGTTCTATGGAACGAATGTGAATTAGGAAAAGAATTGAACACTACTGGTACCCTGGAAAAAGCCAGCGTCTTTTCAGCTAGCCGGTGAGGTATTGTTTGCTTTAGACATATATAATGCAATAGTGCAGAACAGCCAAAAAAACAGCATTTTTCCTGCCGCATGCAACAGCTGTCCAAGCCCTAAACACCTGCCAATGGTGTCCAAACCAGCCTGAAAAGCCAAATTTTTCTAGCCTGCGCATAGCGCGGGCACCTGTAGAAGAACATGAGTGTATGCAGCATTCAAAAGGCTGGCGAACGGGTGCCCAAACCGCCCCAAAAAAGCAAATTTTTCTGCCCCGCACTGCGCGCGGGACGCCCTACAAAATAGCCTCCCTCAAGCTCCTATATAGTGGTCCAAAAGGCCTGCGAACAGGTGCCCAAACCGCCCCAAAAACCCGAATTTTTCCGGCCCACGCTGCGCGTGGAGAGCGTGACGTGACACGTCTGGATGCACCCAGCACACTGGACACACCCAGCAGTATTGCTGTGGATACACCCAGCCTGGATGGGTGGGTGCACCCAGCCAGTTGGGTGTCCCCCTCAAGGTAGACCCCAGTTAGGGTAGTCATCTCCAGGGGGGCAACTACCCTAACTGGGGTACTTCAAGTGTATGCCTGAAGTGGAAGAAGTACGTCCATCCTAAACTCTTCTCATTGTCTGCATTTGTGATGACCGCTGCACAGGAAACGCCGTGACCGCAGAACTCGCTGGGACGCCACACAGCAACGGGTGCTGGGTTTCCGTGGTCAAATGAAGGCAATGACCGATGCATATGTCAATTGGGGTGCGACTCAAGCCGAGTTTGGACTCGATTCGACCACACCACCCCCAGAGCCCGAGACTGTCCAGACATATTATAAGGTTTCAGTGATAGATGTATTCAGTCAGTGATTTTCTATCACTGACACGTCTATCACTGACGCTAGCTTGTATCAGGTAGTTACACTGTAGACGCACCGCTCACAGGTAATGATGTCTATATTGCATCGGGTCTTGTGGGGCAAGGCCTCATTCCATGCTCTCCATGGACACCGAAGGTCACTGTTACAATCTGCCTGCTTGAAATGTATCGCGTTGCACGCTTGAGGTGCCCCACCCTCAGTATCCAGCCCTGGCTCAAGACACTGGCAGATCTCCATGGCAAAGCGTTCAGGCCCTACAGCACCCAACAGTTCTCCACCTGCTTTGATGTCTACCTTGAAATCCTCAAGAACGTTGATGACCGCGTGAAGAAGGCACTTGGGTGTGACGCTCCTGACTGGCGTCTCAAAAATGGCTGCCCGGCGTGCACCTAACTATGACAAGGCAGTGCATTCAGTTCAAGAGATAGAGGAAAAGATGGGGATTGAGGATCGGTGGACACGGGAGAGTCAGGAATATAAAGAGGCAGCGGAACTAGTCGCCACAAGACGATACCGGGGGGCAGTAAACAAGCTGGAGGAGCTTGTAGTGAAGCGGCTCTTTGAGTTGACGAAAATGAATATGTCTGGGACAGGTAAGGATGAGACTGAACTTGTTAAATGAGACATTGCGGATTTGTATAGGATACAAGCTTCGCAAACACATTGCAAAAGCTCTTCAAACCCGATCACGCACTATCCAGGCAGCCTTGGATCGGTATAATGCAGCAGCAGCAGCCCTGGATCCCCCACGATGTACCTTATCCTGGAGTGAGGTGATCGACTTTACCTTCCTGGTGGATTTCGACATTCTCCGTGATCCAGAGGGGAATGCTGCGCTTTGGCCATGGGCGACACCTGGAGCCCGAGAGCTGATGGACACTCACTTCAAGATTGAGCGTGCGAAGGAGGAGATCGATCACCTCAATATCGAGATACGCAGGCTGGTGACATACATCAGGGATGAGAGGGTGTTTCTGCTCGCAAAAGAGGCAGAGGTGAGGGAGACTGACTCCCACCTGGCCATCTTCATTGGGAAGTACCAGATGCAATGGGGCCGCTTTGATGAAGACCACATGAAGCGTCTCGGGACGATGGTGAGGAAATTGGGTCCACGCTTTAGTGGGACCTTGATGCCAGGTGTTCGTCTTGCCCCACCTCCAGAGCCAGCCCCCCAGGGAGATCGAATGGACACTGAGGAGGAGGAGGGTGAGGCTGCTGCTGTTGCTGCTGAGTTGGAACGTGGAAGACTCGCACAAGAGAGGGGGGAGGAGGATGATGACGGGTGGGAGACTGATACGAGTGATGTAGATGAGGGAGAAGATGCGGAGGTGGAGGAGCTAGCAGAGGCCATAGAGACTGTAATGGTACTCGCAACTGACAAGGATGTATGAATCCTGAATTTACTCTGCTCATTTCTGTGGAAGCTGTGGAAATCAAGGGTTCCGAGACTGGCATGGAAGTGATGGAAGTGCCGTGTACGTTTCTCCAAGTTGTAATGGCTGGTGGAAGCCATGGAAGTCAGAAGGGGCCCACAAACTGTACTGACGCTAGTTGGTGGAAGCAATGGAATTTAGCGGGTCACAAATTTTACTGATGCCAGTTGGTGGAAGCCATGGAATTTTAGCGGGTCACAAATTTTACTGATACCAGTTGGTGGAAGCAATGGAATTTTAGCAGGTCACAAATTTTACTGATGCCAGTTGGTGGAAGCAATGGAATTTCAGCGGGTCACAAATTTTACTGATACCAGTTGGTGGAAGCAATGGAATTTTAGCAGGTCACAAATTTTACTGATGCCAGTTGGTGGAAGCAATGGAATTTCAGCGGGTCACAAATTTTACTGATACCAGTTGGTGGAAGCAATGGAATTTTAGCGGGTCACAAATTTTACTGATACCAGTTGGTGGAAACGATGGAATTTTAGCGGGTCACAAATTTTACTGATACCAGTTGGTGGAAGCAATGGAATTTTACCGGGTCACAAACCTTACTGACAATTTTACAGGGCCACCAAAATCAATGGAACAGGTGGAAAAATTCGGTTTTGGCTCCAGGACTGGCGCTTGGTGGAGAGGGTGGAACAGCCCAGAAGGTGTCTTCCATGGAAGTCGATTTCGCCTCATATTAGACGGTACCTATGATACATAGGTACCGTCTAATATGAGGCGATTTGTGGTATTTCCAGGTGGGCTGTTCTCCATATTTTGCGGTCACTGGCGCACATCCAACTATACCATTGGACATCGAAGAAGCAACTTGGTTGGTAGAATATCCTGAGGATATAATATCAACTGAGGATCTCATTGGTTTAAGGGCAAAGGCCTAGGCCAAGCATATCCAACATATAGACGAGATGCGAGAGCGAGTTGATGCAGAAAAGCTGACGGCTGTGAGAAGATACGAGCGTGTTCATGACAACAAGATCAAGGATTATAATTTCCAACCAGGGGATTTGGTTTTAATATGAAACACCCAGGTTGAAAAATCCTTGAACTCTAAAATGGTGCCTAGATATTTGGGACCCATGGTTATTGTGCGGAGAACAAGCGGAGGATCTTACCTATGCTGTGAGATGAATGGCGCCATGTTTCATGGGAAGGTCAGGCAGTTCAGGATTGTGCCGTATGAGGCTCGAAAGAAACTCAACCTGTCCAAGAAAATTGAGGATTTAATTGATATGAATACCGAGGATTTGGAGGAACTTGCTCGCCGCAAGGATAAACCAGATATATACCTTGGGAAGGATATGCAATTCCACAAAATTCAGTTAACACCGAACTAGCAGGAGCTTGACCCTGATGAACTATCTGAGGAATACATGAGTGATGAGGAACCAGAAGACGAGTCCCTGGAACCGGAACCGGTCTTTGACGCTGAGAATCCTAGACGATCGAAGAGGGCGCGGACTTAAATCATTGGCTTAAGGTCCGCTCTCGGAGGAAATCTGGTTTAAGGCAAAAGACGGCACACAATATATTCAAGGATAGTAGGATACGAGTTGGACGTGGCTAATATAGCTACGGTAATGACAGGACGCACTGGAATGGCTGGGTATAATCAGTCCGGACTAAGGCGTTGATATGTTAAAACAACTCGGACGATAGGGAAAGGTTGAAAAGAGTGACTAGCGGGTTAATCAAGGGCATTGAGAGAATGAGGACAATGATGAGCGGGATGAGGAGTATGGGTACAGTCATGGGATACGGTGGTCG